ACCCTTGACCCCAGCATCGTGTGGGTATGGAGTCTGTGCAGGCCACGTTCACGAACTTCGAGCCCTAAGCCTAAGGGCTCAGGGAAGAGAAAAACACGGGTTTATGGCTTAGGGTTTAAGGTTCGTAGTGATTAGGGTCAGGGCTTAGGAAGGACCATGCTACCCGCTCCCCCAAAGTACAAGCCCAAACCCGAAAACCTGAGCCTCACATCACCTAGGGGTTGTACCTTGGACCCTTGAGGTTGTACCCTGTGTGGGGGCTCCCTTTTTGAAGATCCTACTAAGGTAGCATAAGGACCTTATTGGGAGTACATTCAGGGGAACCTTTAGGGGGTACAACCTTGGGGGTGCGAGTCTGTGTACCGTGATTGCAGGGACTCCGACGGAAGTTCGGGGGCATCCCGCCTCTGCATTCCGGGCTCCGCGAAACACCACTGACTCCGCCCCAGCCACGCAGTGGCCAGGAACCAGACCTCCTGCATGCAGTTTAGGGGGTTTGAGATTTAGGGTTTAGGGTTTAGGGGGGTTTGGGATTTAGGGTTTAGGGTTTTAGGGGGTTTGGGATTTAGGGTTTTGGGGTTTGAGGGGTTTGGGATTTAGGGTTTTGGGGTTTGAGGGGTTTGGGATTTAGGGTTTAGGGTTTAGGGGGTTTGGGATATTTAGGGGTTTGGGGTTTAGGGGGGTTTTGGGGTTTAGGGTTTCCTGGACACCCTTCAACCCCAAGTCCTTGGAGCCGAGGTTGGGGGCTTCCTAAACCCTAAACCCTGAACCCTGAACCCTAAACCCTAAACCCTAAACCCTAAACAGCGGTTCCGGCGAAGTATCAGCCCAGAGCCCCGGCAGTCCTCACAGGCGCCCAGGAGCTGCGTGGAAGAACTGGGCAGAAGGGTTTAGGCTTTAGGGTTTAAGGTTTGGGGTTTCGGGTTTAGGGTTTGGGGCTTAGGGTTTGGGGTTTGGGGTCTAGGGTTTGGGGCTTAGGGTTGGGTTCAGGGTTCAGGGTTCAGGGTTCAGGGTTCAGGGTTCAGGGTTCAGGGTTCAGGGTTCAGGGTTCAGGGTTCAGGGTTCAGGGTTCAGGGTTCAGGGTTCAGGGTTCAGGGTTCAGGGTTCAGGGTTGTCCCCCTTCTTCTTGTCCTTCTTCTTGCCATCGGCCTTGGGCTTGTCGCCATCGGCCTGTCGCCATCGGCCGTCTCCACCTCTTCAAGAGTGATCCCTTTGATCTCATTTCTCAGCGCTGCTTTCGCAGCTCGCAGGGCCTGGTCCTCTCTATCTGGGTCGGCATCCTCATCTCTGTCCCATCCCCGCCGTCGCACCTCTCGAAGGGCAACATCTCGAAGAAGCGAGGCCAGTATCTGGCGCTCCTTTTGCAAAACCTCAGCCATGCTGCCCTGCTTCCTAGCTGCCGCCTAGCTTGTTTCCTGGCCGATGCAGGGTTCAGGGTTCAGGGTTCAGAGTTCAGGGTTCAGGGTTCAGGGTTAGGGGCTTTTGGGATTGGGGTTGAGGGTTAGGGGCTTTAGGGCTTCGGGTTCCTACTTACAGCTTCGGCCGCCGCGCTAGGGTTTTATCTAGGGCTTTAGGGCTTAGGGCTTAGGTTGAAGACGCAGGTGAAAGCCCAAGCCAGAAGTTTAAACCCTGAGCACTCTGTAAACCCAAAACCCTACATTGGGCCCTAAACCCCATAAACCCCAACTTCAAGCCCTGAACGCTAAACTAGCCCTAACCCCTAAACCCTAAACCCTAAACCCTAGACCCTAAACCCTAAGCCCTAAACCCTAAACCCTAAACCCCAAACCATAAACCCTAAACCCTAAACCCTAAACCCCCACATGCCCTGGCGCCTGGTCTCACGCGCCATGGCGCAGCGAGACAACGATCGGGTCCAGTCTCGTAGCTGCCGAAGCCTCTCTAGCCCAAAGATTCGGGCTTAGGGTTTAGGGTTTAGGGTTTAGGGTTTAGGGTATAGGGTTTAGGGGGTTAGGTACGAAGCATACCCTTTGGCATGGAGACTGTACTTCACCTACCGCAGAGCAGGGGTGGGGGTGAGGGGTGGGCACCCTAGTTCAGGTTGTTTGGGGATGTTAGGGTTTAAGGACTGTAGGTTTGAGGATATTGGTGTTTAGGGATTCTAGGTTTTAAGGATTTTTGAGTTTAGACATTTTAGGGTTAGGGGTTTAGGGTTTAGGGACCACCATCCTAGTCCCTGACCTATATGAAGCCCAGATGTATGGTGACTCTGGGGCACGTTCGCAGGCAAACCACCTTCCTCCGCAACTCAACGCTGAGTTCTCCCTCTACGGAAGAAATGTGACCCTAAACCCTTTAAACCCCCAAACCCTTAAACCCTAAACCCTATAAACTATAAACTATAAACCCTCTAAGCCCTAAAACTCCTAAAACTTTGACACCTAAATTCTCAGCACTTACATGCAGCGAGCCGAGACACACGGTGCTGGACTCCATTAAGGAGCCATCTTCCAGTGCCAGGGCCGTCATGCAGAAGATG